GGCGTGGACTTCCATTGTTGTTGCAGCCGATGCAAAGGTGAGAAGTCTTGGTGGGGACTCGAGGATGAACCATCGTGCTAAGTAGCCGAGGATGTGCCATTGTGATATGTACTCCGCCGGGGATCATAGTGGAAACTGGGCCAGAGATTGTATTGGGAACTCAATCGGGGATCATAGTGGTAACTGGGCGGGGGATCGTAGTGGAAACTGGGGCGAGGCTCGTGTTTTGTATTGGGGTCATAGAAAGCACACCTCCAATGGATTAGGCACCTTCCACGCCTCAATCGGCTTGATCTCGGGCACGTGAGGTCGATCCCTTGTAGCCTTGTTTGGCCTTCTATGGACCGGCGGAGGCGGGATGGGGACATATTGCGCCACCGGAGCTGGTGCAACTGGGGGAACTGGCGGGTATCTGTGATGGTCACAGGCGCGCGCTCTCATATAGCCAAGGAGACTATTCGCTATCCTCCGAATGAGCCTCACCTCTCGCCATGCCGCCAAAGAATCTACAGTACGAGTGATATCGTGTATATGCTCGATGCCATCAACCTAAATCGCAGAAAATAACAACGTTCGCCATTTAAGTACTAATGATTTGGATGACTATTTATATTGATTCTCAAAGTAAATAAATAAATTAATATGACGGAATTACTTACCAAAGCTCCGTCTGCCGCACCTTCGGGCGTCATGTAACGTACGGATTGTCTTCGCTATGTTTCCATGTATGGGTCATGGTACCCCATCCGCCCCACAGCTGATGCATCACAATCTCCTGATATTGCCTATTATTCCACATATTGATTAATTCTTCTAACTCCTTGGGCCAATTAGTAGATCCTTGTCGGCCATCTTTCCCGTGGTACCCCCTTTGACTCGCCGTGACTTCTAATGGTAAGCATTTCTCACGTCCGAATTGTCGTAGGCATCGATTCGGCAAGTGCCACTCCACTATATGGAGGCAGATTAGTGGCACTCGGGTGTACCATTGACCGGGATGCAACGGGAACTTGTGGACGTGATGCGCAACGATGTGTTCTGGATACAGATCGAACTTAAGCTACGAAGGTGCAGAACAAATGGACCATCAAGAAACATACTAAAGCAAGTCGGAAATAGAGCAGGAAGTAATAGTGTATTATGATGGTTACCTCTGCTTCCCAAAGGTGATCCAGCCTCCTACAATACTCCTCCAGCTTATGTGCGACTAGGTTGTCGCATGTTGTTTCACCAAGCCACTTATTAATATGGAAAAGTACACAATGTTAATAAATACTAGAATTGTTCTATAAAATACTGAATTAGTAAAAAAAGGTGAGAACTATGAGTGGGATCGAAGATGTTTACCTACAACCATAAGCTTCATGTCATAGGGGATGTTCGGGTCCCCATTCCTTGTCGGGGTCTTCCTTCAGCACAATCCATGGAAGATGCTCCCAAGCCCAAAATTGGACGATAAACATGCCCCCATCAATGTCCTTCACCGCTCTCGAACTAGCATTGCAGAGGGAGGGGTAGAGATGAGCTAGGCAAGCAGATGCCCAGCTCAGGTTCCCCATATCATCCCAATCTCCAAATATGATCTTCAACCATGAATTGTTGATTGAATTGTTGGATTTTTTGGGGAAGAAAACTCCTACGATCATTCCGAGGATGTAGATACGTGCATAAATTTATTTATCACGCTCCGAACTTTTCTCCGTGAGGGGAATGCCTCTGACCTCAGGGTTGTGCTTACGCCTGATCTCCGCTGTCAACCAAGTGATGGATACTTGGCCCTTGGACAATGGTGGATTACCATCCGCATCGTGATCTCCCTTTTCTGGCGGACACAACCCTATGACTGTCCATATGAAATGCTGCCAACCACTCATATTGGCAACAACTTTAGCTGGTGGAGTAGAGTCCACACAAATAACGGAAAAAATCCCAGAATACACTAGTTAGTAAAAACAATTCCCAAAATACAGCAGTTTGGGCATCACCGCTGCGGATCAAGACAGTGAATTGCATCACCGCTGTTGACAAAAACGGTGAAGGGTTCACCGTTTTTGACAAAGGCGGGGAAACTATCACCGCCTTTGTTCAAAATGGTGAACCCTTGTCAAAAAGGGTGAACCCTTCACCGCTGTCGTCCAAAACGGTGAACCCTTCACCGCTGTTGTCCAAAACGGGGATTCTTTCCCACATTTTACAACCCTGGTAGGTTGGAAGTTAGGTAACAACGACCTAGCATTCACCGTCTTGGTCAAAAGAGGTGATGGTTCACCGCTATTGTCAAGCGCTGTGATTAGGCCCCAAAAATTCCTATAAAAACCCAGCCCTCAAATTTCTCCTGCTGCCTTACAACAATTTAGTATGAAATTAGTGCCTTTTTGGTCCTTTTCTCAGTTGGCTTACAGCAACAAGAAACTCACCGGGATTCGGTATGTTATAATTATGTATTGTTTACATGTTGATGTATTAGTAATTATATGTCTGTATTTAGTGAATTTCGGTTATTGGCAAATATGTTATGTTAGAGATATTTAGATGAATTATGGTATGATTGATGTTAGTTAGTTATGAATTTAGATGAATTTGGATAGTTTTCTCATGATAGATCAGTTAGTTGCGGTTGTTAATGGATTTGGATGATATTATTTTTGTATCCCTAATGTACTAATTATACTATATAAATCTTATTCGAGTTAAGCTAATAGATACTTATTGTAATTTGCAGACATGGGTAAATTTAAGAAGTTTCAGCTTATTATTCGGTGGAATGGTCGGGTGACAAACTCGGACTTTGGGATCGACTATGAAAATGGCGAATCCACTATGATAAAAATTTAGTCGAGATTCACGTGGCAAGAACTACGTGACATTTGTGCAGAAAGGACTTGTATGGACAGGCAAATGAGAGTTGGTCAAATTACTTACCGGTATCCAAACATGAGTGCTGGCGGAGTTATGTACGAAGAAGTTGTCATAAATGATGATGACGCGGTGAACATGATGATACAGTTCCTATCTGACAATGAGATGCGGCTTGCAGAAGTGTATGTCGAGACCGAGCCGGTCAGTGAAACTCATTTTCACCAATATTCTTGTGATTATGGTTTTGCAGGAGGGTACGGCTGGGGTGGAGGTCCAAGCAACTACGGAGGAGGTAATTATGCGGGAGGTGTTGGGTGGGAAGAATACCCGCAAAATGCTGAGACTGCCCCATTCGTTGAGCCCAACGACGATCAATGACCTGCTTGGGGGCCAGAGTGGGCTGACATTGAGAAACACCTTCGAACTGGGCGTATTTCACATGACCGAGAAGATGAGGTTGGTTATGTTGGTAACGATGATCCTCCTGACCCGAGCAATCCAATCGCCTCCAGCGATGAGGAAAGTGAGGAAGATTTGAGATCAGTCAGTGAGGATGAAGATACGGACGATATCGAGGAGAGCGAGGTGGCGTTCCGTGAGGCACCAACGCCTTACTACACAGAGGTTCCATCTCAATTTTTATATAGTCAGAACGATCCCCCTGATTTTCGTCCTATGCTTGTGTATAATCCGATTGCCAATTTGGAGGTGGGTAAGGCGTTCACTTTGAATGTCGATGTTCAAGATGATTTTATCGAAGAAGCCATGCGACGCAATTTCGAATGGAAGGTAAAATATTCTGACACCAAACAACTACATGTCATTTGCATAAATGCTAGAGAGGGTTGTTTGTGGCAACTGTGGGCTGCAAATATGAAGAGAAAGGGTGCCTGGGTCATTCGGACAGCAGAGAACAACCACAACTGCTCCTCAAACATACTGTCCCAGCATCACCGACAACTGAAAGCAAAGAAAGTGGCAATAACCATTAAGCAATTGATCGAGGCACAACCAGATATTAAAATCAAAGCTATCATGGCCGAGGTGAAGGATCAACACTCCTACACGATCAAGTATAAGAAGGCGTGGCATGGGAAGCAGAAGGCCATGGCTGAGGTATATGGTGATTGGGACGACTCGTATGCTTTACTCCCTAGATTAATGGCCGCAATGGAGGAGTCCAACCCTGGGACTGTTTTCGTGCCCTGTTACAACAATGTATACAATGAGGATCATGTTCGAGTATAGAACGAGTTGATGTTTCATCGTCTGTTCTGGACCTTCAAGTCATGCATTGATGGAACATTCCTTACTGGGAAGTATAAAGGAACTCTTCTCATTGCCACTGGCGTTGATGGAAATTTAAGTATTTTCCCCCTGGCGTTTGCATTAGTTGAAGGGGAGAACAACTTAAGTTGGGCATGGTTCTTTGACATGCTACACCACCACGTCACACAAAGAATGGGTATTACAATTATATCTGATCGACATGCAGGGATTAAGCACGCCGTGAATGGTTTTCCCGACGAATGGGGGTGGACATGGCGCTGGTGTATTCGACACTTTCTTGCAAATTTCCAGCACAAGTTAGGGAAGAAGAAAGACATAAGATATCAATTGTGGAGTGCAGGTACTAATGTAATTATGTGCTTGTTCATGGTTTAATTTTCATATGAAATTTCTCATGTCTTAATTATTTATTCTGTGGTCTTGAAGCGGTTGCACATCAACCAAAGAAATACGAGCAGAAGATGAAGGCGATCCGTCAGATACATAGGGCTGGTGCAGTTTGGGCAGAAGGTCAAGATCTGCACATGTGGACATTCCACATTGACAACGGGGCTAGATTCGGCATTGCAACTACCAACCATGGCGAGAGCATAAATGGAGTCTACAAGGGCGTTAGGGCAATGCCTGTATCTGTCCTAGTGGACATGACGTACTAGAAGGTAAACGAGTGGTTTGTGAAGCGACTTCAGCAAGCTATAGGGAGGGAGCGTGCTAGTCATGCAATAGCACTTCATGTCGAACAGGACATGCAGAAGAAGGAGGAGAAATTAAGTAAGCACAGAGTTGTTCTTTTCAACCGCAATGAAGGTGTTTTGTTGTTCAAACCGGCATCTGGGGAGGAGGTAGACGTGGGCACAATTGTCAATCTATTACTCTACACGTAGAAACTCGCATCGGTGAATGTACATGCCAAAAGTACCAAAACACAAGAATCCCGTGTTCACATGAAATGGCAGTATCTATGTCAATAACCCTCAGCCCTTACAGTTTGGTGAGTCCTTAATTCACCGAACAAGCGATCAAGAACTCGTACTTGTGCAGTTTCACCCCCCTTCCAGATGAAGCTTATTAGCATGTAGACAACGGAAAGTTGATAATCCCACCGTTGCACTTAAAGCGCACCAAGGGTCGTCCCTAGAAACGGAAGGATTCACAATGAGATGGATCAATCACAACGTTCCAGGCGAGGTCCTAAGCGTTGCTCAAAATGTAGACAACAGGGACATGACAAGAGGCGTTGCCCAGGTCCACCTATCGAGCAAGATTCAGGCACAAATCCGAACCAACCATGAGTTCCTTGTATGTTCGAGTGATTTTGTTGTAATGGTGTTTAAGTTGGAGTTCTAGTATTAATCTTGTTGAGTGATTGTAATGATGATGGATTTGTGCTTTGACTTGGTACACAAGACATTTGTAAACGACATGGATAGTGTAACGAAAACAAACATGGCATAACTAACCATGGTAGTTTGTCGAAAACACACAATAGAGCACATGACATAACTCGACAATGGATAGTTTAATGAAAACACACAATAGAGAATTAGACGACATGGATAGTTTAATGAAAACACACAATAGAGAATAAGACGACATGGATAGTTTAATGAAAACACACAAGACATAAATAAACAAAGATCAAATGGATAGTTCACTGGTCTCCTTCATTTTATCTCCCTCATCCTTATCCTCCACGGCGACCTCTACCCCTTCTTCCGCCTTCTCTGCCTCCTGCTTCTTCGCGCGCCTGTTGGACGACTGCTTGCGGATTCCTCTTAACCCAACTTCCGACCGGAGTATAGGTAGGCGGTGGAGGCACAAATGGCTGAGATGGACCAGAAGAGTGGTAGTAGGTAGAAGATGTGGGCTGAGGAGGCGGTGTCTGAAAAATCGGGGTCTGTTGCTGATGGTGGAAATGAGGGAACCCTTGAGGAAACATGTCATATTCCTGTTGCGGGGCATAACTTGACGATCCTGGAGCGCCTTCCATTGTAGTTGACCACTCATGATCTGGCCATGGGCCAGGCAGTTGTGTTTGCTGAGTCGGACGAAGTTTTTCAATGTTTGGCTGGGCTCTTTTCTTACTCCTCCGTGGGGGCTCAACTGGGGGCACAATGGGCTCATTGATGACTCGATATTTGCAAATGTTTTTCCCTCTACTTCTTGATCGTTTAAGCTTGAATTATCTCTTTTTGGCCTATTTTACACTAGGTTGTGTTCCTTTGTCACATTTCAGGTCCTAGCATGTAAAATGAAGCATAGGCGCAAGTTTCAAGTCAATAAGAGATCAATTGGCGATTTGGGAGAAGAAACTCGGGCATGACCTGAAGAAGAATGGATTTCTGCCTCATTTATGGAAAAATAATCATTCAAGCTTGTCATGAAAAGAAAGAGGACGAGACTACGAGCATCTGGGATCAAACGACGACTGATTCGGAGTCCGGACGAGGGAGAAACGAAGCATTGAATATAAGGGAACAAGTTCGATAGTAAAAACACGGGCAGACTACCCTAAAAACATGGCCGTGTTTTATCTGGCCCCCGCTAGTCTTTTTACTGCCGAGAGCGTGTTGTGAGGGCTGTTGGAGGTAAAACACGGGCGATCAAAAGTAAAACACGGCCGTGTCCTCGACCGTGTTTTTCCCAGAATCGGGTTTTTGAGGCAGATTCAAGCTAAAGGAAAGGGAGAGCTGGGTTTTGGTTCCCAAACACCCAAGGGACGAACCCTAGAGAGAGAGTGCGACTTGGGAACATTCTTGGAGCTATTTTGGAGGATTTCTTCGCCATTGGAGCTCGGGAATCAAGCTTGGAGATGGAGATTGAAGATCTAGATCAGATTTCTGCAGTCTCTCTCTTCTCTATGGAGTAACTTCCCTTCACTTAGGTTTTGAGGAACCCTAGTTCCATGTGTTAGGATCTTTCTTGTATGAAGTTTTGGATGTTATATTGTTTGATTATAATCGATTGATGCACGACTTATTGAGTTAATTGAATCTTGATCAAATTCTCTTGATTTCTGCCTTAACCTATGATAGACAGAATCTGATTAGGTTAAGAGAGCTTCCTTGATTGATAGTGGTGAATTGGTTGTGCGAGAGTCAATCAATTCACTGCTTTGTACTAGAATTCATTCCAGTAGTGGAGATCTGTGTGAATCGCCTTAGCAGTCTATCCTGGTGAAGGCTAGTCGCCTGCCGGGTATTCTGTCTAAGATGGCTTGGTCAGCTTAAGAGATTCCAAGCTAATTTAGGATCTTCCGCAGTTTAATCAATAGTAGATCAACCAAAGGTAATTGCAACTTGGACCTAATTGAGGAGCTAGGGGGAATCATACCTAAGTGAGTTCCCAACTTGTAATTAGTAGAGTAGTTTAGTAAATCAATCCTTAATCTAGTTTGCTAGATAATGAGCTGAAGCTGAGTAATAGTAACTCTAGAGACCCGTGGATTCGATATTTATTACTTGTGCCACTATACTGCAGTCCCTTTCATTGGTTACACGTGGCCATTGTTAGGTGTTGTTTTTTAGCGAGTCACTCATCATCACGGAAATAAGGTCGAGGCGGAGCAGGCACCGAAGGGTATACGATGACATCCCTCCTTTGCTCTCGCGTACAGCTGAGCAGGTTGTTGAAAAGCCTTCGTAGGAAAGATGTCTTCCGCTCGTCCATGGTAGCTGCACTCTTGATAGTGTGCTTGGCATGTTCCAAGCCATCAACCTAATACAAATAATTAGAAAATGCAATAAATTAATCTAATCAAGTTAATTGCCATGACTCAAATCTAAGCATGTAATCTAGGGACAAAAGCATAAGAATATGACGAAGATTAAGAATTGGAAACACTTACCACCGCTCCCCACACAGCACCTTACTTTGACACCCATCTAAGTGTGAATTTCCGATACCATACCATGTATCCATCGTGGTACCCCATTGGCCTCGTCTCCGGTAAACCTTGGATAGCCCAATTCATTCTATTCTCCCAAATGTTGATGTAGAACTCATGCTTGTAGATCCAATTCTTTCATTTGTGCCGTAGGTCGATGGCATGGAGCTCTTTGAACCTTTGAGGTGGGGATGATGGAATTATTTGCTCCATCCAATACTGCCTCAATGCTCGATCCGGCAGGTGCCACTACACCATGTGCCAACAGATCAAGGGCACCTTGCACAACCACGTCTCTACATCCTGGGGGTGTCTAAGGCGATGAATCTCGATGACTTGAGGTGGATATGGATCCCATGTCACCTACACTCATTAATGATTTGAATTTAGTACAAATTGCAACCTAATCCATTTAAATTTTTTAAAATGATCCAATTTGACATTTTTACCTGGTTCCACCAAGGCTTATCAAACTCAGCACGATAAAACAGTAAGGAGTGCTCGGGATGGTGGTCGTTTGTATTTGCTCCGATCCACCTTATTAAGAAAAAGTACGTATACAAGATATTTTAAAAGAATATATGCGTTGCTATGCATGTGAGAATTCACTAAATTAGCTAAATAGCTGGAATGAATCTAAATTTGCTAAATTGCATACTTGGACTGTATCTAAATTCACTAAATTCACAAAAATACTAAAATTGCATAATTGGATTGTATCTAAATTCACTAAATTCACTAAAATACTAAAATTGCATAGTTGGATTGTATCTAAATTCACTAAAATAACTAAATTCTCTAAATTCACTAAAATACTAAAATTGCATACTTGGAATAAAATTAGCATGTAAATTAATCTTACTTGACACCATAGGGGGATTCGCTAGAAAGCGTAGCTCCTCATCCGGACCCCAAAATTCCCGCGGGTCTCAGGGAGCGAACATTGGAAAATGCTCCCATGCCCAGAGTTGGAGTATGAACATCGCACCTCTAGCTTGTTTCGCTCCCAACCACGAGCAAGTGCACAGCTCTCGGTAGATCCCAGCCAATACGGCCGACCCCCAACTCTTTCCCCCGATCTCGTCCCAATCACCGAGGAGCAACGGCAACCACATGCCTTGAATCCACTGGGTTGTCTTGTCGGGGAACAGAAATACACCAACCAATCCAATGAGGTAGACGCGTGCATATCGCTCCACCTGATCTTCGGGGGTGTCTGGCCCTAAATTCACTTCCTGTTGGATGTGTTCAACAAGCCACGGGATTGAAACTTGCCCCGCATTGAGCGGTGGATGCCCAACCCCTTGAATGGGCGTTGTGGTCGGCATGTTGAACCCCAAAAACTCGAGAATCAACGACCCCCAACCACCTTCGGGTTTACTTGAGTTGTCGATGATGGCCTCTCCCATGACCGGCAGCCCGGTGAGTAGGGCAACATCTCTGAGGGTGATCGTCATTTCCCCCTCGGGAAAGTGGAAGGTATGCACTTCGGGGCGCCATCGCTCTGCCATTGCCGTAAGAAGATCGTTGTCGATATCAAGCCGCATGAAATGCCTCAGCATGTGCAATCTCGTCCTTTCTAGATAGGGCTCGAGACAAGGATGCCATTAGGAAATCGACATGCCCATCGATGACTGATGGGAATAAGTGATTCCTACAAAACAAAAAAAATACAATGTTGTTAAAAAAAAAACTTCTAACCTATTGAAATAATTTAAAAATTTATACGGTACAGACATAGTGTCTACCGGATTATTGTCCCAAATTGCACGGGAGCGATGTTGTTCTTGCTTGTTTAAATATTTGCGATCCCTTGGGCCAGGATCGATATACAAACAAGGGTCGTATATCTCAGCACCCATCTGTAAACAAATATGAAATGAAATTAGAATATTTCAAACCCATTTAAAAGAACATCAACAAAGGTGAAATTTTTTTCGTACTCTCAGAGCCTCTTCGTCCATTTTTTGTCGAAAAGCTGGAGAGAGTATCGACGAAACTTTAGAGCAAAAGATTTAAAACAAAATTACAACTCTAGTAATTCTTTTTGATGTGGAAGATCGGACTTAGCCGCAACCACAAAGCATACTTAGAACGAGACTAGAGTGAAGTAATGGAGGGAGAAAGAAGTATAAAAGTGGTGGTGTGGGTTGGAATGAGGGGGGATGAGGTGGTATTTATAGGGGGACCACAGAGCATTCCCCTCTCTGGTCCAAAGCGGTGAAGCATTCACCGCGATTCTCGAGGGCGGTGAAATGCGCGGATCGCTGACGTGGCTTGGTTTGAGGTGTCGGATCTGGGAGAAAAACCAGTGACAGTAAAGCGCCCGGATGGCACGGATCGATGATGTGGACAGCGCGAGCTATCACCGCTTTTGTTCAAAATGGTGAAGTGCCCGCGCGTGTCCACGTCAGCGATCTGCGCCACTTCCCCGTTTTGGACGACAGCGGTGAAGGGTTCACCGTTTTTGGCAAAAACGGTGATGCAATTCACTGTGTTGGTCCGCAACGGTGATACCCAAACTGCTGTATTTTGGGAAATATTTTCATAAGTACTGTATTTTGGGAAATTTTTTTACTAACTAGTGTATTCTGGGATTTTTCCCCACAAATAACATCGCCATCGATGGGTAAATCGGTTAGGATGGCGATATCCTTAAGTGTGATGGTGCACTTGCCTTCACGAAAATTGAAGCAATGTGTATTCTTTCGCCATCTCTCTACCAATCTCGTGATGAGTTGGCGGTCGATCTTTATTCCATTAAAGTGCCTAATGGGATCCAATCTTTCCATTTTTAGAAAGGGCAAGATGACATCATTCCATTCAAACACATTCGTCGTACCCCTATAGCAGACTATATGGTATGCATCCTAGGGAAGAATTTAACTTTCAATATAAGTTTATGATTTATACATATATAAATCTATTATAAAAAACAATATCAATTAATGAAATCAAGGTTGTTTCCGAGAAATAGACATAATTTAATAAACATTAATATTAAGCTAACTAAAATGAATACTATTTTCGAAATTTAAGTAAAATTATTTTTGTACACTACACATAAAAATCAAATATATCATTTTGTACTTCGTTTTGGTTGTTTTCAAAAGAATTTGAGCAATGCAAGTACACTCACAAGACTGTTAGGAGAGGTATACATCTCTTTAGAAATACATTCTGTTTGACAGAAAAAGGGGTGATCCGAGGATCGCTTAGAACCCGATTTTCCCAGAAAATGGGAGGATCATGATGATCGCTTAAGACCCTATTTCCTTAGACATGCATTTCTTTATAAAGAGTCTAAATAAGTGTTGTATTGTATTGATTTAAATTATTGAAATTAATCAATACGATTAATAATTAAGTAATTTATCTTACAAACAAATAAATTACGTTAACAAAATAAAAATTACAAGTGATGATAAATAATATGTACCTTGTGGTCGTTCCAAACGTCCCTTGAACGATGACTGGATTGGTCGTACAAAACAGTCAGATCAATCGGTCCTTGATCAATATAATATCGTTGATTGTATATATCAACATCCGGCCCAACCTACGATAGCATAACAACAACATAAATCAATTAGTATATAAATTAAATAAAATCATTACAATAACAACAAAAATTAGGTAAAATGAGTACATACCGCTTGATAGTCATCATAGCCAATACCCTCTTCTTCGACAAAATCAGCCATTTTTTTAAGGATCCGGACAGAGATTCGACAGGTTTTTAATGAAAACCAAAGAAAAGTTTTTTGCAGGCAGATCTGTGATTCGAGCCTAATTGCACATATTTGCCCCCGTTTTACTTAGATGTTTGTGCCAAATTCACTCCTTAAAGGTCGGTTTTACGCTAGGTTCTTCATGTTTCAGGATTTAATAGGTGACACCAGCCTCAGAGTCGAAAGATTGGCGAAAAGGATCGAAAACCGAAAGAAGATGTGAAAAAGCGCCAGTTCACGGTTAACTGAAGGAGTTCACGATTTTGCAAGACCGTGAAGAAGGGGACTTGACTGTGAATCGCTAGGCGTCCAGAGCCAATGTGAAGGTTACTGACGCAAGGTGAGTTCACGGTCACTAAGACCGTGAACACAAGCAGTTGCCCGTGAACGGACGTGAGCGATGCGGAGTGTTTTGTCGCACGCCTTGAGTTCACGGACGCGTTTGATGGTTTACGGCCGTGAACTCAGCTCTTCTCGGGTTTAAAAGCTGAGCTGAAAGGAGGAGAGAGGGGAGAGCCCACTTTTGTGAGAAACACCTCATTCAGCATTCTAGTGAGAGAAACAGAACCAAAGGGAAGAAGAAGGTTAGGGTTTGGCTTGAAGGCAGATTTTTGGGAAGATTTCCCCAAGGAAAGCTCAACTCAAGGGTCAAGAAGAGAGGAGGCATCCCCAAAGATGGTTTCCACCTTTTTCCCATTTTGTTCTTCCAATTCTACCATGGAGTAGACCTCCTTTCACTTGGGTGTAGTGAAACCCTAACTCTACCATGTAGTTTTCTTGTATGTGGTTTGGATGATTGTTATTGGGTATTGTTCAATTCAATGTTGAGGCATTATTCACCATGATTGTGCATGCTTGTGCTTAGCAACTTAGGGGTTGTGCATGTTTTGTGCTTAGCCAGTGGCGGACCCAGGATTGTCAGAGAGGTGTGTCGCCAATAAAATAAAATAATAATTAAATTAAATTAAATAAAAAATTAAGTAGAAATAAAAAAAATTAATTCATAAAGTTCACAATGGCATGTTTACAACGAATCACGATGACTTTTCATCTGCTGAAATGCCTCTAAAATACATTAATCACTTATACTGCAAAGAAAATCTTTTTCAATATACACAACTAAACAATCATTCATAAATTGGTCACTCAACCGATTTCGAAGATCATTCTTGACTATCTTCATAACTAAAAATGTTCTTTCGCAGCTTGTCGTTGCAACAGGTAATGATGGGGAGTTAGTGGCCGCCTGGGCTATTGGCCATTAGGCCTGTGGGTTTTTTTCTCTTTTAATTATAGGTCGGGGCCCAACACACATCACACATGTATATTGTATGGGTTGAGAGTTTGTTTTTTTTAATAGGAATTGATAGGATTATGATTTATGAGTTATTTTAAACAAAATTAAAAAGGATTATGATTAAGATTGATTTATTCGGATAATAAATTCTTCGAGTATAATGAAGGTGTGTCGGCTATAATTATTGAAGGTGTGTCGGCTATCTCGAAATAAAAAAATTTGTACCAAAAGTATGTAGGTCCTTCACAAAATTCTCGAGTGAGGGTGTGTCGGACGACACACCCTCCCTTGCCTTAGGTCCGCCACTGTGCTTAGCATCCTAGGGATTGTGCATAATTGTACTTAGCACCCCTAAGTTTGTGCATTTAGGTGCTAGTAATCTAATTTGCCACCTTAGCCTAGTTTAGAGAGGAAAAATCCCCCTTTCAAGGGAGACTCAATCGAGTTGGTTTCCCTTCCGCTTTCTAAGCCACCTAAACTAGGTCGAGTTAGGGAAACCCTCAATATTGAATTAAACAAGTCGATTAATCATGGTTAAACCGTCCGACCTTAGAGTTGAGTGAGGGAGTAAGTCAATGACCGATTGTCTAAACCGAGAGGGTCGAGTGACACGACCTTTCATCCTCACCTCGGTTTAGCAATTGAGATTGTGGTCTTCGAACACATATGCATTCCTCTGCAGCTCACGATTAACGTGCCCAATGCAATCGTTCCAATCCACATAGCATGGTAGCGATTAGGTGGAAGCGAAACCCGAGTGACTTTCCCAAAAAATACTTTTCAAACCCAATCACCTTTGTTTTCTTTTACTTCAATTAGCAAACCTTTTAAAGCAAAGTTTAGTTTCTAGATAATGATTTCAACAATGGAAGTAGGGATATACGGACCGGCCCAGGTCGATACCTAAATACTTGCCCTATACTGCACCCGATTAGAGTTTTAAAACTTGGGCTCTAATTGGGGTTTAACTATGGTATAGTTTCGTGCTAGTCAATCGGACTTAGTCACAACCAACAAACCACTACTTCCAAGGTTTTTGGGTGGGGAGGGGGATGGGTAGAGTGATAAACTTAGAGAGAGAGAGGAGATTGGTTTTGGTGTGAAGAAAATGAGAGGAAGGGGGTGGGTATTTATAGGTGGAGGACCGCATGGTGGAGGTGCGGTTTTTGGTGGGGTAAGGGTTTGTCCTTACTGGTATCAGAGCCTGGGGAGAAAGGGTTTGTCTAAATCTTCTTGCTTATTATTAGTTGAGAGATGGGTACCCCATGGTTAGATCTTAGCTGAGTCCTTTGTGAGAGAGTTGTAAGACCGTCTTTGGCCGTTAATCTATCTCACCTATAAGTTAGATCTAGCCTTTGTTTACCTTCTTTCCTCTAGTCATGAGTTCAATTTTTAGACCTTGCTCTTCTTCCTCTAATTCTGACATCACCGGGAACCGTGTTGATCAACCAAGAAGAAATTAATTTTGAAACTATTAGTAAAGAAATTCATAATTGGCAAATTCCTAGGATTGCCCAAAAGGAAATTTAAGAGCAAAGCAAATTTAACTTCCTCAATAAATTGATTATACCATCAAAACTGAAGAAAGAGATATTCATCTTTTCAATGATTATGAAACTATCAAACTTTTGTCTCAAAATTCTATTCAACAACACAAAAAGAAGTACAAATATATCCATATTGGGTTAGTTCAAGTAGGGATTAAGCCTCTATCCAAAGAAGGCCTTAATACTGCTATTTTAATGGTTTTACGAGATTGTCGGTTTCTTGAGTTTAACGACTCTTTACTTGGAACTGTTGAATCAAGTCTCTGTAATGGCCCAATTTACTTAAATTGTTTTCCAAACTTTACTGCCTCTCTTCATGACAAAAATATTTTAGATGTTTTAACCCTACAAATAAAAACTTTCAACTATAAAATCCAACAAGGATCTTTACCTATCTCTTTGGTTTACCGCTTACAATATAAAGCTATGAAATCTGCTTTCTCTTCTAAAGCTCTTCAATATGGCACAAAAGGAAAAACTATACTTTGGCAAACTGATTTAACTCGTACTAACACTGTTACTCCCAAAACTATCAAATGGGGAGAAGTTACTCTTCCTACAGAATGGACCCTTGAAGGAGCTACCATTCCCAGAAGCATCGACCATCATCAGGTTAATCAAATTACTCAACATCTTGATGGTACTGTTAACATCTCTTTTGCTAGGAACTCCATCTCTATCATTTCTGATATAGACCCTGAATTGACAGACGATGCTCGACAGCGCATCAATACTTTTCTTAGAAGCCAATATTGTAGAAATCTTTCTCCCATACCTACACCCTCTCGACATACCTCCTCTACACTCAACTATGATCTACGAGGAATCAACAACTCCATCAACATACCTCAACCAGTTTATACTCCACCACCTCCCACAACTCTTTTTCCAAATATAAATACCTCGAGAACACCAAATATGTCTCCTACTGCCACACAAGCTGCATTTCCTGAAGAAGAAATCCCTTCTGCTCTTGATGTCATCACACAAGAGTTCAAAATCAACAAAGAATTTCTTCGCCATGATTTGCTTCTAAACAAATATTTGCACGATGGCAAGCCATCCTTAGCATTTTTTATTTCAACATACAATTTATAAATGGTTCTTCAAACTCTCTTCCAGACTTCCTTACTCGGGAATTTTCACAGGGAGGACGAAGTGCGGAAAACTCTCTGGCTTGCAATCTCCAGTCATAATGCCCCCTACCACTAGATTGCGAGATAAAGAGAAAATCAAAATCAAAACATGGAGAGAGATATTTGATGATGAACAAGGAAGCCCTGATCATTCAAGTGAGTATGAAGAAAGTTCCGATGATTCTGGTTCACACTCAAGTTCATCCAAAGCTTTAATCAATATTGATAAGCTTCCTCTTGAAGCCCAAAATTACCTTCAAAAATTTATTGCCGTTTATGGTTTTAAGCAAAAGCTTCCCACTGAAGCTTCAACTTCCTCAACAATTTCCCCTTATGAACTACTTTCTAATCTTCGTTGAAAAAAGTTTCATGACTTCCGATGGTACAAAGAGATACCTTTTTAACTAGGGTTATGCAAAGAGAAGATGGAATCAACCATTTTGGAAAGAAAAGTTTTTAGCCGATTTACCCCGTCTCTTAGGAGATAAAATTCGAAACAAAATCCAAGACACTTTTAATGGTCCAATTCCTTATGAGCAACTTACTTACGGAGAACTTATTAGCTTTATAAAAAAGGAAGGATTACAAATTTGCCATGATTTAAAACTTCAAAAACAAATCAAACGCCTACAAAAACAAACTCGAAAAGAACTAGGATCTTTTTGTGCTTATTTTGATGAATCTTACTCAAAAATTTCTTCCAAATCTAACTGTGAGGATTGTAGCACCAAACCTCATAAAAAACATCGCTATCATCCCTGCCGATCTTTTAAAACCACGAATAAAAAATCTCATTTCTCTAGGAATCCCCTCCCAGATAAGGGACCACGATCTAACAATGAAAATAAAAACATTACTTGTTTCCGTTGTGGAAAAACATGTCATATCTCCAAATATTGTCGCATAAAAAAGAAGCTCAATGAGCTTAATCTTGATGAAGAGATTCATGACAAAATCAATAATCTTTTTCTCCAACACTACTCTTCTCATGAGGATTCTTCTTCTTCTAATGATGATGATGAGAATCTTCAGGCCTTACAATTTGATGACATTGATTAAAGTTCTGAATCTTCTATCAATGTTTTAACTAAAGATCAAGAGCTTATTTTAAATCTAATCAATAATATTGATAATCCTCATCTCAAAGAAAAATATTTCAAAAAGCTTCATGAGCACATGGAGAAACCTCCTGTGACTATTCCACCTACCAATCCCTTTCATCAAGGTTCGACGTATAGTGTTAAAGATATCCTTTCTCGACATAGTAATAACGATTCCCACAATCCTTCTCTTCCTGACTTACAAAAGGAATTGGATATTGTTAAGAAAGAAATTCAACAATTACGACAGTTACAAAATAGTGATCATGAAATATTACAAACTTTAATAGCTCTCAAACCTTTAGAAGAGCCATCAACATCTAGCCCCGACAACTTTTTCGATGAAACTCCTCACGCAACCAACAGTTTAGAAATAGAGGAAATGCTAACTAATGACGATTTTCTGTGTTTTTTTTATCTACCATTACTACCCAAAAATGGTATGTTCTCATTAATTTTCAGGTTTCTTCTGATTTTACTTTAAGCACAGTGGCCCTTCTTTATACAGGAGCAAACATGAACTGCATCCAAGAAGGATTAGTTCCAACTAAGTACTATGAAAAGACCCTCGAGCGTCTATCTACCGCTAACTCTCAACCTTTTCAAATACAATATAAACTTTCTAATGCTTTAATTTGTCATCAAAATGTTGAATTCAAAACTCCTTATCCTAGTACTTGACATGCAACAAAAGGTGATCTTAGGGACAACTTTTCTAAATCTTCTAAAACCTTTTATCGTCACCGACCAAGGAATTAACACTGTTGTGTTAGGAAACAAGGTTGAATTCTCATTTCTCCAAAAACCAAAAGTTCGAAACCTAAATGTTTTACGACGTTCTTCTATAAAATATATACACCATATAATTCGTTGTAAAACTAATCAAATATCTTATTTGCATGATGAGATACATTTTCAGCGAATCTTACAACAACTTTCTCAACCTCTTTTGCAAAAATGAATCAACTCTGTAAAAGAGCACATTGAAAGCTCTATTTGTGATATAATCAAAGTTGCGCAGGGTCAAGCTTCTCGAACCAAACAGAACTTGATAGGATGGAATCGATCGGATAGTACTCACGCGTGAATAAAGGCAATCGATATATGAATCGATCAGACAGATTCAACTCGGAATAAAGGGCAATCGATATGGGTAGCTCGCCATAACCAGGGTGAATACCTAGCTGATAAGAGTCGCTCTAGCACTCTGGAGATTC